GCTCATGGCTACGGCTGGGGGGGGCGTAGTCTTTCCCAGCATGCACTGGGCATGGAACGCCCCGGACAGGTTGTCAGGTTGTCTGTCACAGGGCTGACACACACGATGTCCACGTCACCTGCCTTTCTTTGCTTTCTTTCCCAGTCAACCTGGTCAAAACGCATCCCGTGGACCTGAAATCCACCGCCACCGCCACCGCCTCGCCGATCTTTTCACCGCAAATCATTTTCATCAGCCACTGACTCAGTTGCATTTTTAATCCTGCATGTCCACATTTCCAATCTGGCTGTGTGTTATTTGCACAGCTCATCCAACTGTACACAGTGTCTAAATCTGTACTGGGATAGTATCACCATGCCTGTTATGTAAAATCTTCTGTCCTCTCCTCTCTGTTTGTGTCTCCCCTTTTACAGCATGACCATTTTATCCAGCCTTCCACTGAGCCAAACGCCTATAGACGCAGCAAACGCAGCAAACGCAGCTGCCACCTTCAATTTCTCTACTACGGAACGACGCCGTAGCCCAAGATCCTCATGGTTTCAGGTGCACACAAAGAAGCAGCTCTGGCAAAAACCCTGCATCCCTCCGAGATTACATAACTTCCCTAAGCCCTTCAGCGGCAGTGGCAGTCCCTGTGATGGCACAGAAGCATTCACAGGTTCAACTGTGGCGTGGCTCAGGGTACTTTTACAGCAACATATTCCTCTGAGCATCTGGAAAGCTCTCAGCCCATCAGTGGGTGAATTACAGTGTGGTTTACAGTTTTCTTACAGGCAGAGTACAGTATGGGCTACTACCAGAGGAGTGAGATCACAGGAGAACGCAAACTCTTTCGAGGCAAGTCTTGCTCAAAAGGACTGATACATAACTACCACTACATATTAGCAACAGAAATAAACCTATTTAGTGATGACCTATGAACCCTGCGAGGTTGCAGGGCAGTAAAATATCATTAAACCAGCTCCAAAATACCTACACAACTCCAAGCGCCAGAGCTGCACCAAAGTACATGCACAAAACACCAGAAAATACTACCACGTCCCTCCTCATCGGCATGTTTACGTCCCAGCATACAGCAGCACCAACACAGCCCTCCTCTACTACAGTACACTCCGTCTACATCCAACCTGCTCTAAATGACTTAGTCACTACATCCTCCGTCATTCATTCACACCGACAGACCTTGGTCAGTTGTGCTATCTTCTTGCTCATCTTCAAATGCAAGTCTTGAGTGTATTCCAGCGTCAAACTCCCGTCGTAAAACATGCTGGACGTTGGCGAGGGGGTATATTTGGTGCTGCTAGTCGAGGTGCTGTACGGAGGCTGCCAGCCTGCCCCCGTCGCCATTTTCGCGGGGAATAAACTCGACGCTTTAAATTTAAATAAAATGGAGCAGGGGCCGCTACGCGTTAAATCCTCCCATAGCTGTGTTTGTATTTAATCTTCGGTTCCAGCCGAGGGAGAAAGACAGGGGGAGAGGGGACAGCGGGGTGCGCGAGACCGTCCCGTCGCACGCATCCGCAACGGGCGCGAGCGCTCGGAGTGAGGAGCGCGAGGGAGGCGGAGACGCCCGCCAGATGCTCAGCCTATGGCGCGCGCCCAGCTTCACTCGGTTTACGCTTCATTGCAGCTTTGTATGGCGGCGCGTGCGGCTGATGATATGTTTCATTGAAGACGGATGACAGCGGACATGTTGATAAACACCAGCCCGCACTGTGTCATGCTTTGAGCCCGGAGACTCTCGAGCTGCATGACGACTCATATTTGCGCTATGACGTTGAAAATGTCTTGTTTACTACACAAACAGATAAATAGTGTTTAATGTTGTAAGCTACTGTGACATTATTCAGCCTCTTATTAATGCTAGCACTCTGCTTTTATTCCCATCATGCTTTATCTTTTTTATTATTAATGTTTTTTTCATTTGTTATTATTGTTGTATTTTATTAAATAAAATAAAATGTATTTTTATTATGAATTGTCTAAATTTTAAGTGCCTCCTTGCAGTCTTAAAATGTTTAAATCCTGGTTTAACCATGTAAAGCACTTAGTAAATTATAATTTTTCAAATGCTGTAGGATTTATTATTAATAAGGGAGAACGGGGTTGGTTGTCACATTCGTTAGATCTCACTACCTAGAGGGCGGCATTAAAAACTGTTGGCACAGAAATTTCAGAATTGGGGTCAGAGGTCAACTACAGGGTAATTTTAGGAGTAAGACAAGGTGAGAGGAGTTTTAGTGCTCTTCATGTCTAAATTTAAATATCCAGCTTATCCTTTTCTCTTTATTTCTTCTAGGCTTTTACACAATGGGTTTATAATAAAGTAAATATTACCATTAAAAAGTATGAAGGGAGAGTTATAGTTTATTTCGTAGCTAGGCTGTACCTACCAATTGGGGATGCTTGTCACGTATTCTTCAGAACATGTGTGATTTATGTCGTTATATAAGGATACAATTTATAGGAATGATTTGTCCTGTTTTCTTCTCTCATGCAGATGTGTAAGGTGGTTGAACTTTTTGAATTAATTTTCAAGATGGCCTCCATTTTTTATTTTCCCCCATTAAAATAACATAGGGATAACCAACCCCACAACGGGAATGGTTGTCAAAAGTGCACAAGGCGTATTTGACACTCCATATATTATGAACAGAAAGGTTACTCTATTCCGACCTGACACTGGCTTCTATTAAACATTGGATCTTAGTTGTGAAGCCATCTACGTTTGGCCCCTCATCACAGTTTAGTTGTTTTCCGTATTGTGTTCTTTTCTCTGTCTCAGCCAAGCAATAATACTGAAATTGTTGGTCAGAAGAGAAACAGGCTGCAGTATTAAAGGAAAATGTAGCTCTTGCATTAACAGCTGTAAACCTGTGGGGAAATGCTGTTGGTTTTCATTCAGACTTCATTGCATTACATCACCCTGGAGCTTATTAAACTGTGACTAATCCTGTACTGACATCTGTTGGTGGTATTCGCGAACAGCACAATCATTATTAAAGGAACAGTTCATACAATCTGCAAAAAAAAAAACATCAACAATGGAGTAAAAGCTTACATATTAAAACACAAATAAACTCAGCTCTGAACCAACATCTGTACATTAGTTCTCTACTAATTAACTTTGAGCAAGATTATTGTGTCAGCTTCTGTTTCCAAGGTCAAGGGTCAACTTCCACTCTCAACATATTTATTTAAACCTGGGTGGGCCATGACCCAAAAACACATTTTGTGTTGTATTATTAAGATGCAACTTCGGCCTGAGGCCCCACCTGAGGGCATCCCTGATTTAAACCTTTGTTGTAACTTTTGCAGAACTCATAGCTCCCTTGTCAATTAAAAGAAAAGACCAAGAGAACAGAAGACCAGGTACAGTACAAGCTTCAAAACATGTGATCACAAGGTTCACATACATGATTATGTAGTGAAAGACAATAATTATCACATTTCCAGATATTTTCTCACATACTTCTAGAGGTGTCAATTCTTGTAGTAGACCATTTTTGACATGTAGACAATTTTAGAGACTAGTTTTGATGTAGCAGTCTCTTTAGTTTGTGGTGCGCACAGTGTGTGTATGTGTGTGTGCATAGCCTTATTGTGAATAGTTTTCTTTGGAACTACAGAGAAATGTATGAAAAATGAAATCCTTTAGTGCTTTAAGATGGCTGTCTCAAAGCCTGGGCAAATTAAACCTTTTAACATAGTCGAGATAGCGCCAGTGTTTGTGAGTCTGTGTGCATGGGCATAAAAGATATGGCCCAGAACAACTTAAAGGCCCAGTGTGTAACATTTAGAGGGCTCTATTGGCAGAAATGGAATCTAATATTCATTGGTATTTTTTCATTAGTGTATGGAAGAATCACCTGAATATAGTATAGTTTATAGTATAGTTTTCATTACCTTAGAATGAACTGTTTTTATCTACAGACCATGCTGGTCAAACAGACAAACCAAACACTGGCTCTAAATAGGGGCGTTCGCGTTTCTCGTGTCCACCATAGTTTTTCCTTTATGCCTGGAAGGTGAGGGTGAAGCGAGGGAGTTGCAATCTGCAACTACACCGCTTGGAGACACTAAATGTTACGCACTGGTCCTTTATGAACGATCTCTCTCTCTTCGTCTAATAACACAAACAGTGTCTTCATTTTTCTTTCTAATCATTCGTGGCGTTGTCCAGCAGAATGTTGCCAATTTCAGTAGTATCCCAACGTGTTCACTGAATTGTAAATGCCGATAATGTCTGCCCCCACATGTGTGTAACAGGATACTGAGGTAAATACCAGTAACTTGTGGAGCCTGGCTGTGTGTGGGCGGTTTGTATATTAACAAAGTCTTTACATTGTGCTCAATTTGCATGTTTTTATGAGTTGCAACCTCTATGGCTGAAACAAGGATAGTGCAAAAACTGCAGTTCCCCTAACGGCCACAAGAGGTTGGCTCCAGAAGTGAGTCAATCTGTATGTTAAAAAACCCAAATTTACAGCAGGATTTACATTTTTACAGTATGGTGCAAAAAATGGTCTCTATAGCTATTAACTCTACGGGAGGTGAATTCTCATATAACTCACCCATTTAAATTAT